CCGTGGTGCAGTGGATGCATTGTTTCAGGAGCTTGTCGTAGTAGAAGCCGGCTCTCCTGTTGCAGTCCATGGACTCTGCGGGAGGGAAGGGAGACGAACGCGGTGTCCTGAGCATGTCCTCCTCCCCTGTCGTTTGAGCACGAGGCTCCCAAACCGCTGCCCTCCCACCACCCCCGGTGCCTGGGTGTGTGCAAGGAGGAGCCCGGGGCCGCTCTGAACAAGCTCACGGCTCCGACGGGCGCAGGGCGAGATCCGCGTGCTGCCGTAAGTGTTGACAACCTCTCCAGGGCTGGCAGGGTGACAGATCCACAGGATTTGCAGTGATGTTTGGCCGTACGATGAATACTGGGGAAAGGCAGCTGCGTGGGGAGGGGACGGGCCGCAGCCAGATGTGTGCAGCTGTACCCACCTGCGGCAGCGAGCTCCTGGTGGCTGCTCTTAAGAGCTGCTGCTGCCCTGGAGCTTGCACGGCTTTTCGGGACGCACCAAAACCTGCCATAGCACTGGCTCCGGAACCCGGGGATGGCATCTCCTATCCTCAACGGGGAGACGTGACTTGTCGCTGCATGCAGCCCTGCCGCAGGGCTGGGTCCCCTGCGCCCTAGGACAGGGTGCAGCAGTCCCAGACTCGCCGGGGAGGGAAGGGGCCATGCACAGGGCTTGGGTGCAAAGTGCATCTGTCTCTCTCCTCCTCACCTGTTATCACTGCACCTTGGTGCCTGCCCCAGCACAGGGCTCCCAGTACAGCCTTGCAAACATACAGCTTGAGTTTATAATTATCCACATCAGCTGAACCTGATCTCAAGGCCCTGCCTTTGGAGGGTGGGGTGTCATCGATGGGGGATATGGGTGTTGATGCAGCTCTGGGAAGGCTCCCTGTGATCCCAGAAAGGAGAGGTACAGAGACGTGGGCAACTTGATCCTGGTCTGTGCTGAGCTGGGAAGCCATCACGTTCCCCAGCGTTTTTGGCCTGAAGCTCCGTTAAGCTGAGCTGGCTCGGCGCCTGTCCTGTGGTTCATCCCAGCGCCTGATTTCACCTCCCAGCTTTGCCCCATCGCTGCCTGCTCGGTCCAAGGACAGCCCTGCAGGCAACCGGCCGCCCGGCACTCACCGCACAGGGCAGCACACCTCCTCACTGTGGACCGGCCGCATACGAGGCTGCAGGGGATGCACTGGCAAACGAGGGTGTCCCAGTACTGCTGATCGGTGCAGTTGTTCATGGCATTCCACCCGACACGTGTCCCATCCATGGCTGCAGAACGGGAGGCAAGTAGGTACGGGGTGGCCCTGCAGCCACCTCGTCCCTTTGCTAGGGCTGGGACCCCTTGCAGGGGGTGCCCGGCTGTGCCCCAGCCCTCTCTGGTCCTAGGCTTGGGCAAGAGCATACAGCAAAATCTGCTTCAGGCTTAGCAAGCTCTTCAAATTATAACCTACATGTCCTGTGCCGGTCCCTGGGGACGTGCAGGGAGACCACCCCGCCTTATAGGTGGCCCCGTGCTGTGCCCCGCGGGTCTGGGGATGCACGCAACTGCCCGTGGGAGTAAGAAAACCCTGTCTTCATGTGGTTTTCTGAAAATAACAGAAATACGACCAGAATGACCACTGGCAAAGTCTTCTGAAAAAATTTTTAGTTCTGGAAACTTCTGAATTCCTCTGTGGCATCAGGGCGGTTCATGCCATCCTGTGCGTAATTTCTGACATCTTTCTTTGGTGTTCTGGCATCATAACGGAACCCGATTTTGATATGTAAAACTCCCCTAAGTGGCAGAAGGAGGGACGTCTCTCTGGGAGAGCTTTAAGCACTGGTTTAACCAGTGCCAGCTGGATGCCTGGAGGTGGACGTGCTCTTGTCCCCGCAGGAGCCGTTCGTCCCATCCCCCTCTGCCATGGTGCGCCCTGCGTGGGCTGGATGTGATGCCAAAGGCACAGGAGCGAGGCATCGGCAGCCGCCCTCAGCATCTAGCCAACAACTTACAATGTTAAGAATTAGTTTGCTAATTAGCTGAAATATTTGTGCATGTCTCCATCTTTGGGTGCTGCCTATCTCTCTCTGCAGCCTCAGCTGTGCCACCGCAGGGGTTGGCCTTGGAGGGATCCCAAGAGATGGTCTCAGTCCCTGGCCGTGCCCCTGCTGACCCCCACCCACTGCTCAGCAATACCTGCTGGCGTGCCGTGCCGTGCCGTGCCGTGCCGTGCCGCACGTGGGGTCTGCGGCAAGCGCGACCGAGCAACTGCAGGAAGCGCTAACCCGGCACGAGGGCGGCCGCAGTGGAAACGTGCCATTTGCTGACCGAGAGGGCTCGCGGGCGACCGCATCCCTCTGCGGAGCCGTGCCGGGGAGCCGCAGCTGTTTCCTGCCGGTGCTGACGGGACCCGGAAAGTTTAAAACTCCCCGATGCCGCAGCACGGCGCTGGCCTCCGCCTGCCCAAAGGCTGCACGTTGCCTCGGCTGCACCGCAGCCGTTGGAAAGCCAAACTTTGATTTTTATATTAACCCCCCGCCCCTCGCCCTGTACTCTGGTGCGGATCTCTCCTTCTCTCTCTCTAGTACTTGGGAGTGTGCAGCAGTCGGGCACTTTGCACGTCCGTCTGTCCTGCCGTTGCCCGCACAGCACCTTCCCTGCAGAGGGGCTGAGGACGGGCTTCCTCCGCTGCCTGCTGTGAACTGGCTCCTACCTGGGGCAGCACGTGTAAAACCCTCCCATCCTCAGGGATAAATCCACTCTGCACAGGGATGCTGACCTTATGGTCCCAGTTGTTCAATTACCATTGCTATAAAATTAAATAATTACTTTCTATCGAGCTGACTGAAGACGTTCCCCAGGGCAGAGCGAGGCGCAGGCCGGCGCTCTCCTCAGATGCTCTTTGAAGATATTTTGTACCCAAAGGGAAGAAAAAGAAGACCCCCAGGGATGGCGGCGAGCCCTGGGGATGGCGGTGAGCCTGGCCATCCTTGATCTACGGTGGGGTTCCACATGGGATAATTGCTTGGGAAACGGAGATTTGGGGCTGTGATGAAGCCGGGGAGCTGCAGGCTGGGCAGCTCCTTCCCCGCTGCTGCGAGGGCAGGTTCAAGCCGGGTGTTTGGCCCCGTCTAGGAAAAATCCTGCCCGATGGCTGAGCTCCCCTCCCCGGGGAGCCTCGAGGTACGCGTGGTGCTCCCGGCACGGTGCAGCTGGGCTTTGCAGCCACGGG